TAGACTATTTCCTATATTATTATCATTAACACGCTCTGATGCTAAGGAGTTCTACTCCCCCTCCCCACCTGAAAAAAAAACTGTTCCAAATGCAAAACGCAAGCAGAGGAGAGGAGTTTCAGTTTCAGTTTCAGAGCACCAAGCAGCTTTAATACAGAACATTTGAGCTAAGCCACACCCAGGCTCCTTGCTTCTCTTACTTGCTCGCACAGCAAATACTGTTTCAGTTTCCAAACAGCCCTCAACTCTCTCATACACTGACAGGACACTAGCCAGATGAATACCAATGGATGCTGGTAGGCAAAGGCAGAATTTTTCCCCCCTTATTTTCCTACTCAAAAACTGGTTTCGTAAGTGAAGCACGGGTATCGAGCTAGTCTATCTGTACCTATCTTTATCATCTATCATCTTTCTCTCTATCTGTCATATCTGTCTATCTATTTATCATCTTTGTAACATCTTTCTCTCTATATCTATCTCTAACATCTTTCTTCATCTGTCTGTCTCTATTCATACACACACACACATACATACGTTAAATATGCAGATAATGGCTAAGATTGACCTTGTTGGATTGTCTGTTTTAAGAGTCTAGCTTCATGCTACTTCTAAAAATAGTTCAAGAATATCACTGGAAATTTGAAGAGCCGTGCGATTTCTTATTATTTGTTCCAATTTTTCCTTCTGCTTTCTTCTGCTCTAGCTAAGCAAATTAGTAATAGAAATAAAATGTATTTAAAAAGCAGCATACACGTGAATCGAAGTCTCTATGTCTGTGGTCTCCTTCTATTTTATTTGCCTTCCACAAAACTTTGAATAAAACTTTAAAGGTACACAGCAGAATATCCACCACATCAAGCAAAGGTGGAGGGGAGAAGCAGGAGTGTGTTTAATGTAGGTTGTAAGTGCATAACCATAAGTGCATAAAGGTAAGGGTTTATGCACATATGTGCTAGTTGTTTCCGGCTCTAGGGGGCGGTGCTCATCTTCGTTACAAAGCCAGCACTGTCCGAAGAGGTCTCCGTGGTCATATGGCTGGCACAACTAAACACCGAAGGCGCACAGAACGCTGTTACCTTCCCACCAAAGGGGTCCCTATTTTTCTACTTGCATTTTTTTACATGCTTTCAAACTGCTAGGTTGGCAGAAGCTGGGATAAGTAAACGGGAGCTCATTCTGTTACACAGCACTTGGGATTCAAACCACCAAACTGGCAACTTTTCTGATCGACAAGCAGAGCATCTTAGCCACTGAGCCACCATGTCCCATTATAAGTGCATAATAACCATAAGCAAAAAGCTACCCACCAGAAAGATATGCTTGCTGCCACAGATTAAAAACTACACACCACCGCTGTATTTTCCAAACTTGGCAACTTTCAGATGTGTGGGCGTCAACTCCCAGAATTCCACTCCCCAGGAGGCTTCCCTGAGGCCTAGGAGGCCCAAAAATAAGGGGTGTGCTCAGTGGTGGGTCAGACGTGAAGGTACGGCAATAACTCAACACGGTTGGGAAGACGCCAGGAACACAGAAAACCAAAGTACACACAAGATAAACTCACATTTGTTCCCAGCAGCTGCCACACTCAGCTTGCATCTCTTTTAATCTCTTATTCCCAGGTGTGGCTAATGAAGCGAATCAGGGCCCTTTCCTCCCCCATGTAACCCACGTTGCTCCCTTCTCCGTTCCTCCCTGTGTGCCCTAGGATGAAGAGGGGTTGGGCCTGGGTCTTCCTCTGAACTTCCTCTCCCTTGTTCTACCTCTTCCCTGCTCTGCCCAGCCGGACTTTGCCCTTCCCCAGTTTCCTCCACAGCTGATGGAGCCACACTCCCACTCCCTGTAGGCTGTTCATCTTCCTCTGACACATTTCAGCATCCCCATGGCCATTTGAATGCCTAGCAACTGACTTACAGTTATGACGGTCGCAGCGTCCCAGCCGGGTCACACGATCCCCTTCTGCGACCTTCTGACCATCAAAGTCAATGGGAGTGGGAAGCCAGATCCACTTAACAACCGTCTGATTAATTCAACGATGGCAGCAATTCACTGCCCAAATGTGGCAGGAAAATCATGAAAACAGGGCCAAACTCGCTTCGTCAATGTCTCGCTTAGCAACGGGAAGGTGAGGCTCTGTTGCGGTCGTAAGTCGAGGAACGCCTGTACCTTTGTGTACTGGATTCCGGATGGAACCACAACAGAGTCCAAGGTTGCTGTGGCTAAGGGAGAGGTGGGTGAGGTGAGTTTGGCCGCATTTCTGTGACCTTTCCTGCCACCGTTGTTAAGTGAATTGCTGCGGCGGTGAAGTTGAAAACACGGTTGTTAAGCAAATCTGACTTCCCCGTGGTCTTTGCAGGTCAGGTGGTCATAAAATCATATGACCATGGGACACTGCAACCATCATAAATATGAGACGGTTGCCAAACAGCCTAATTTAGATCATGCGATCGTGGGGATATTGCAATGGTCACACGTGTGAAAAATGGTCGTTAAGTTGCTTTTTCTGGTCAGATGGTCACTAAATGAACTGTCGTATGTCAAGGACTACTTGTAAAAGCCTGGGTCATCCCCCCCTTCCCTCCCCAGTCACCATCACTGCCATTTAAACCTTTTGATGTGGTCAGTGGCCAGCCGAATTGGTGGCAGACTCGAACAGTGAGGAGGTTGGGGAGGAACATGAGCCAGTCCTGGAGTCTGGGGAAGGCTCAGACAAGGGCTCTGTGTCGGAGGCAGAAATGGGGCCAGGGCCGTCCAACAGTTATCAGCTGCCTTCAGAGTTGGAGATCAGTGAGGCAGAAGAACAGCTGCAGCCTGTTCCCAGTGTGCTCATGCACAGAGCTGCCAGGAGAAGGGAACAGCTAAGGAACAAGGGTCGACATGGGAGTAAAGGCACAGGTGGACGGTGAATGGCCCCTGCCATGGGGAATGAAGAGGAGTGAAAGGGGAGTGGTGTCTGCAGGAGACAATTACTTCAATTCATCAGGGTGAAGATCTGTTCCTGACTTCTTGCCAAGTAATTGTTGCTACAGTGTGGCGTTTGGAAGATATTGGCCTGGTAGCTCTCCAAGCCTGATCAAGGTCTGTAGTTGTGAAATCTCTTGAAAGACTGTTTGCCAGGACTTTGCTGGAGAGGAATTCCCTTTAACAAATAAAAGGGGTTTTATCATGATTTTGGGAAGCCCAGTCAGATCACCTTTGCTTTAAGTTTGCAGCAGCAAAGGAGGCCTGGTCATTTTGCTAGCTGATCACCACATCTAGTCAGTTTCTTACACTCTCAAGCTCTGTTAAAAGCCTTCTGGGGAAATTGCCGGCATTTTCAAAACAGCAGCTGAGTGGGCAGCCTAGAGATCATGTTTTCCTCCAAAGCCTAGACACGCGTTGCTCCCCTTACAACTTAGATACGTGCGCGCAGCTTTTATGTTTTTACATTCAAGAAGTGGATTAAAACGAATGAGTAAGGTTTTGTTTATCAGAAATCTGTTCAAGTCTGTAGGGCTTGTGATGTAATTGTCCAACTTGGGCTTAACACTATAGCTGATTTTATTATTTTTATTTTTAAACTGTGCAAAATGGGGCCTGGCTAGTCCTTCAGCTGAGGCCCCCCCAGGAAGCCACGGGCTAAAACAAAATAAATCCCCTACACCGCATGGGAAACCACTTCCTATTCTTACAGAGAAAGCAGGCGCTAAAATGTTCAGCTTTGAAGAGGTTACCTTCTACCATACTCGTTTTTCAATCAGCTCCTTTAGGATCGCACCAGGTTCCTTCCTGGATGAAAGCCTGGTTGGTCTAGTGGTTAGAGCATCTGGCTAGAAAACTGGGAGAGTGTGAATTCTAGCCCTGCCTCAGGCATGAAAGCTGGCTGGGTTATTATTATTATTACTATTATTATTATACACAAAAAACAACAGTGTACACAGCAAATGAGATAACTATGCTGGGTTTTGTATCACAAATCACTAGTTGAACACTTCTCAAGTGTTTAGGATTATTGTTATTATTGTTATTATTGTTGTTGTTATTATTGTTATTATTGTTATTTCTTTTATTCATTAAACATGAAAGTCGGCTGACTGAACATTGAAAAATGTACCACCAATATCAGTAACTGGCGCTGATAGTTGACACAGGTTTTTGCTGCCAGCGTCCTAGCTACTAACCAAGTATCTTCTTAAGATGTACGATGTTCCAAGTAACACAGTTGTTTTTTTTGCAGTTCTGCTGGTGTTATTGCAGGAAGCTGCAATTTCTTGATGTGTTTTGTAAAATTCTCGGACATGGTACCAAGGGGTATATCACTGTCACAGGTTTCATCCATAACCGTGTAGTTTCGATGGCCAGGTCGTGATATTTCGTGATTTTTTCCCACTTCTTTTTCAAAGCTGGCTGAGTTGTTATTACTATCCTTGTTGTTTTGTTGTTGTTATTATTAATTACTTTTCCCCCCCCTTCTAGCAAAGAAGAAACCCAAAGACAAAACAATGGATGGAAGCTAATCAAGGAGACAAGCAACCTAGAACTAAGAAGAAATTACCTGATGGTGAGATCAATAAGTGGATGATGTTACTTAGTTGGGTGATGAAAGGTCTGCAAGCTCAGAGAGCACCAGGGACCACACAATCCTCCTCGCAAATCCCACTCTCTTCTAACACGGATGTTGTGACCCAGCTGGGTCATGATACATCTGCAAAAAAAAAAACCATAAAATTCAGAGACCACAAACAACCCTACCTTTCTTTTCTTTCTCTCCTCCTCCTCCTCCACCTCCCTGCAAACCCTGCTCCCTTCTAGCATTGATAACATTCCCTAGTTGGGTCGTGAAACGACTGCCAAAAACGCCCCCCAACTCACAGAAACATCCTCCCCCCTATCTCTGTCTTGCATTCCCGGCCCAGCCCAAGGACCTTTCTATTTTTACCCCCCTCCCTCTAAGCAAGCGCACTTCTTGCCCCCCCCCCCCCAGCCTTTGGGCTCCTCCCCCCAGGAAGAAGAGAGGGAGGGAAGGAACGAAGCAGAGACGCCGCCAAAAGAAAGCAGGTAAGGCGGCGCGGGACAACCCCCCGCCTTTCCCGGCCAGGCGCTGGGTCTCTAACCCTCGCGGGGGTCGCCTTAGCTCTCCCCCATGGCCGCTCCAAAGCGACCCTTCCCTTTGGCCGCTTCTTGCAACCACAGCCGGCCGGGAGGGCGGAGAAAGAGAGACACACTTCTGTGTCTTCCCCGTCCTTTTGCAGAGGCGACCCGGGAGAGTTTGGGGTAAAGGGAGCTGGCCAGCCTGGCTTTCAGCAAAAGAGGGGTGCAAATAATCCCCCCCACCCCTAAAAGTTGAGGCTGTGTCGTCCAACTTTGCAAGGACTCCCCCCACCCCCACCCCCAGTTCAGGGGAGGCTTTCAAACCTCAAAGGGAAGAAGACGAGAGAGAGAGAGAGAGAGGGAGAGAGAGGTACGGCCAACAAGTCAAGAAAAGAGAAAGTGGAACCTTCTACTAGGAGGAATACGGGAAAGCAGTTAAAGTTCTTTTACTTCGGGAAAGTCGGGGTCTTTTTAACTCTTTAGTTTGGGGTCCCTGAGGGCAGTTTCTTGGAGACTTCCTGGCCTTTGAATCTTCCCTTTGGATAAATTAATACAGGCAGGAATACATATTTGGTCTTCTGCTAAGGGGAGAGGGGTTGGACTAGATGACCTAAGAAGTCCCTTCCAACTCCGTTCATCTGTTATTATTCAGAAGTTGTGGGAGCTTCATCCCTGGAGGTTTTCCAGAAGAGACTGGACTGCCATCTGTCAGAAATGGTGTAGGGTCTCTCTTGTTTGGGTGGGGGGTTGGACTAGATGACCTACGAGGTCCTTTCCAACTCTGTTCATCTGTTATTATTCTGTTATTCAGAAGTTTGTGGGAGCTTCATCCCTGGAGGCTTTCCAGAAGAGACTGGATTGCCAGAAATGGTGTAGGGTCTTCTGCTTGGACGTGGGGTTGGACTAGATGAGCTATGAGGTCCCTTCCAACTCTGTTAATCTGTATCTGTATTTTCCTCGCTTTTTTTTTTTTGGCAAAAAATTGATGATGATTCATTCCATACACGTGGGCAGGCCCCCGAAGTTCTTGGGGGGGGCGAGGTGGGGGGGGGGGGGGGAAATGCATATTTCATTATACCTGTATTAACTGCAGCTAGAATTGTATTTGTGCAAAATTGGAAAAGTAATGAGATCCCTACAGATGAGAATGGAATTAGAAAAGTGTTAGAATGTGCAGAAATTAACAGATTAACACTTGCTATAAAGAAGAAAGAGCAAACTGAATATATTATGTGACGTGGGAGCTGTTTTATGGATGGAGAATAAAAAGCGAGAAATAAATGGAGAGGAGTGAAATAAAGAATATATATTAAGATAGAGTTGTATGCAATATGATGATGGTTATTAATATGATTGTTAATATTATTATACCTAATATATATTTTCATTCGAAGATACATTAGGAGGGAGAAATGAATAGAGTTATAATGCTGATTATGATTATTATTATTGTAAGATTAGAGAATTATTAGCAATGTAAACGAATACTGTAAATTTGGATTGTAATAGCACAAGAGACCCAAGCAACACACTGTTTAATGGAAGATGATATGTTCAAGTTAAAAAAAGAAAGAAAGAAAAACCACACACACACACACACACACACACACACACATAATATATATTAAAAGACCCGAATGGGGGAAAGTGATGGAGCTGAGTTTTGAGGCTCTTGGCTCGCCCCTTTGGGAATTCCCTGAACATTTATAGCCGTTCAGTTTCCATCAGATTGCAGATGAACAGAGTTGGAAGGGACCTTATAGGTCAGTGGTGGCTAACCTTTTTGGGCTCGCGTGCCAGCACCCAGAAGGCAGTGCGTGCCCCCCACGCCCCCTAAGCATGCGTGTGCAATCCCCACCCACCCACGCCCCTTACCTGCACTGTGCCTCACAGCTGATTTTCAGCCAGTTTGAGGCCTTTTTCGGCCTCCCAGAGGCTTTAGGAAGGCTTCTGCAGGCTTTTCAGGACAAAAACTAGGCCTGTTTCGTCACTTCCGGTATTTCCGGACAAACAGGAAGTGATGAAACGGGGCTAGTTTTCGGGCTGCAAAGCCTGCAGAAGCCTTCCTAAAGCCCCTGGGAGGCCGAAAAAGGCCTCAAACCAGCCGAAAATAAGCTGTGAGGCGCGTGCATGCGCAGTGAGATAAGTTTGCCTGCAGCTCGCATGCTGGCACAAATGGCTCTGCGTGCCACCTGTAGCATGCGTGCCATAGGTTCACCATCACAGGTATAGGTCATCTAGTCCAACCCCCGCCCAAGGGGGAGACCCTACACCATTTCTGACAAATGGCAGTCCAATCTCTTCTTGAAAGTTTCAAATGATGGACACCGCTCTGCGCAAATGACAGCTTGAAAAAAATGAGCTTTTATTTTGATGCTCTTATCTGGTTGGAGGCAGTGGTGGGATTCAAATAATTTAATGATTTCTTCCAACAACCAGTTCACCAAATTGCTCAGAAGCTTAACAACCGGTTCTCCCGAAGGGGTGCGAACTGGCTGAATCCCACCGCTGGTTGGAGGTTTCCTGTGTTGATTGTCAGTGCATTTAAAAAGCAAAAAAAGTTGCTAGTTGGGCTGATTGTCTGGTTCCTGAACAAGAGGCCAGTGCTAAAGTTGTGTGTGTGTGTGTGTGTGCAAAAGTTGTGTATGTGTGCGTGATGTTCTCTGTCCTGTCTAGGGATCTGTTCAGAAAGGGATCCCTTGGACATACAAGCATTGTGGCATTCAGAGTAATTTGAAACCTGCCACTTGCCAGCATGAGAGAAAGAATTCCAGAACGGTCCTGTGTGATTCCGGGAATGACTTTATTTTAAAACATCGCAAGAGATAAATCCTTTATCCTTTTTTTTTTAATGTTTTGTCTTTTATTCATAAACATTTTGAATACAGTGTATTGTCAGGGCGTATCATTTACAAAAAAAGTAAGAAGGAAACAAACATAGATATTAACCTGTATACAAATAGCAATAATAATGGTATAACAGAAGATATGAATAGGAAATATATATAATAAGTGTGAAGAATATAAGAATGTTTGAGAAAATTTATAGAAATTATAAATGTAATGATATGATATGGAATTGAATGTGAAAGATGAATATGTAACTAAGGTCATGTTTATATGGAAATGTAAAAACCTGGAACCGCGATGTTCACTAAAAGAGATATTTTTTGAAACATAAAAATAAAAAACTTTTTACAATAATAATAATAATAATAATAATAATGGTATAACAGAATAATTTTTAAGTAGCTTTCTCTTATTTGTAACTAGCTTGATACCCGTGCTTCGCTACGAAACTATGTGGTCGGGCTTAGTTTTTGGGGAAGAAAATAATTTGGGGGGGAAATTGTGCCTCTGCCTACCAGCATCCATTGGTATTCATCTGGCTAGCATCCTGTCAGTGTGTGAGAGAGTTGAGGGCTGTTTGGAAACTGAAAGAGTATTTGCTGTGTGAGCAAGGAGACAGCAAGGAGCCTGGGCGTGGCTTAGCTCAACTGTTCTGTACTAAAGCTGCTTGGTGCTCTGAAACTGAAACGGAAACTCCTCTGCTTGTGTTTTGCATTTGGAACAGATTTCTGTTCAGGTGGGGAGGGGGAGTAGAACTCCTTAGCATCAGAGCGTGTTGATAATGATAATATAGGAAATACTAATGCTCTGATGGTCATTTCAGAAAACCCTTTCTTAGTGAGTCCCTAGAAGCCAAGAGGAAGCCAAATTTCAAGTTTGTAGGCTTTACAGTTCTGGAGATTTTGTGATGATGCATGAGTGGTATTTCGTTTTTATAAGGAGAGAGATTCTGTTAATTATATTAACATGCTTATAATTATAAACCCTCTTTATATTTAATTCATACATAACAATAATCTTTCTTCACCTAATTTCTACCTCTTACCTCTAGCCATTCGTAAAACCTATTCCATGTTAGGTAATATTCTGTGTCTTCTTTATCCTTTATTTTTAAGGTGCAATCTATCCATCTCTGCACAGTCTAGTTAAGATCCCACCTACTCCAGAGTGCACGGGTAAAAATTAAGCGAGGGTGAGGATGGGGAACTGCCCTACTACTTACCTTTGGATAATTGTAGCCAGGCCTCACATACCCTGACACCTGCCTTGCCGGGCCATTTCTTCTGAAGCCAGCAAGGCTGGCAACGCTTTCCTGAAGGCCTCTGGAGCTGAGAACAAAGTTCTGGATCGATCCTGAGCTCTGTTATCAGCTGCAGACGCCTTCAGGAAAGCCTTGCTGGCAGTAGAAGGAGTTCCTGAAGGCCTCTGACAGCGAAAAGGAGGCCAGGGATGATGTGTGCAAGTGAAGTTAGTGGATGACATCCCCCCAAAATAAGACCTTGTGCGGTTTTGGTGACAAAAAAAATAAGACAGGTTCTTATTTTTGGGAAAACACGATAATGATCACAGCACTGCTAGAATCTTTAAATTTAACAATTTAACAATTTATTCATTTCACTGACAGCAAAAAGGAGGCCAGGGGTGATGCGTACAAGTGAGTTTAGTCAGTGGATAACATCCCCCAAAAGTAAGACCTATCCTGAATAATAAATTGGTTGTAGTACCCTGTTTCCCTGAAAATATGACCTACCCTGAAAGTAAATCCTAGCTTGATTTTTACATATGTGCCCAATGTAAGCCCTACCCCCAAAATAAGCCCTAATTAAGATCCCGCCCACTCCAGAATACACGATTAAAAATTAAGCTAGGGTGGGGATGGGGTGTGTGTGGAGCTGCCCTATTACTTACCTTTGGAAGGTTGTAGCCAGGCCTCGCACACCCCAACACATGTCATGCCAGCCCATGTCTTCTGCAGCCGACAAGATTGGCATGGCTTTCCTGAAGGCCTCTGGAGCTGAGAAAAAAGCTCCGGATTGATCCGGACTCCATTATCGGCTACAGAGTCCTTCAGGAAAGCTTTGCCAGCCATAGAAGAATAAATTCCTGAAGGCTTCTGGCAGCAAAAAAAGAGGCCAGGGGCGACATGCGCAAGTGAGGTTAGTCAATGAATGACTTCCCCCGAAAATAAGACCTGCTGCCTTTTTTGGTGGCAAAAAAAATGTAAGACAGGGTCTTATTTTCGGGGAAACACGGTAGCATGGCATAAACAAAATGAAAAATTGAAATAGGGCTGTTTAGTGTCATTGTTGGCATGATTCTTGGAATGGAAAGAAGTCATTACATCCGCTAATAATATTTTTTTGTTTCCATTTTAGAATTTCAAGACTGGCTGACTGATTGGGTTGAGGTACCACCTTTCCCAATTTTTTAAAAATGGAACCTTTGTCATTCAGTGTGAAAAACCCGGAGGCATCCAATGACGGTTCTGTTGATTTCCGCCTTCAGCTGATCGGTTCGATGCCGGTCCATTCTTTAACCACGATGCCCATGCTTCCTTGGATCGTAGCCCAGATCCGACAGCTCAGCATTCAGCCATCAAAGGAAGAGCCTGACGCTCGCCAAATTCGGATCTACATCTCCCCTGCCAAGATACGGTGTGAAGCAGACTCAGGGAAAAACCAGCAGTGGGATCCTTTGATCTGTTCCAGCCTCTTTGAGTGTCGGCCTCAAGATGTCCACAAGCTGATTCACAACAGTGATGATCCCAGTTACTTCGCCTGCTTGATCAAAGATGGGTCCTCACACCGGCCAAGTATCTGCTACGTTTTCAAAGCCGATGATCAAACCAAGGTAAGTGAATAGTTTGGAGTTGGAGTTAAAGCTAGAGGAGATGAGCGATTGATCTAGCAGGCTGGGGGTAAGAGGTGGCCGATTTTGGCAACTTTAAAGACTCGTGAACTTCAACTCCCAGAATTCCCCAGCCCACAGATCTTAAATTTGCCCCTAGCCTAGATGATTTGCCCCAAAAGACAAAGAAAGGTTAAGTCAGTCCTTTTGTATGGTCTTCTCCATCTGTACAGATGGTCCTCAACTTACAGAAGTTCATTTAGTGACTGTTCAAAGTAGCAACAATGCTGAAAAAAGTGATTTATGACCACTTTTCACCAGAAAGGTCATAAAATGGGGCAAAACAATTTCACAGCAACAGAAATTTTGGGCTTAATTGTGGTCGTAAGCCGAGTCTACCTGTAGACAACCAAGATGTGATGAGACGTTGTTTGGATTCCTAGGAGGGAGGGGCTGCCCTCCAGAGAAGCAAGCGACAACTCAGTTTAGATAGCTTGTGTGAGAGAAAGAGGGTAAAGACAGCTCCTCCTTAATAGTTACCATAGTATACGCTTTAGTTTGGCAAGATTCAGTCTATAGGTGTGAAATCATAAGTGTTGTGGTTAGCCAGTAGCAGGTGCGGACGGCTGAGGAGAGCAAGGACTCAGATGAGGGGCCAGGACCATTAGGGAGTGGACTGCTGCCTTCAGAGATTGTGGGGGCTGGCAGCAGCGATGAGGAGGTTCCTGAGGAGCCTGTGCCAAGTATGTGTGCACACAGGGTTGCTCACAGGAAAGAGCAGCTGCAACAGCACAGATGACTCAGGAGTAAGGCTGCAAGGTAATGGCTCCGCCTTCAAGAAGATAAAAGCCAGCTGTGAAGTGAACGTTCTTTGCAGGAAGCAAAAACGTTTTGAAACTCCAACCTCATGGACATTGCAGTATTTTGGTATTTGAAGACTCTTGTGTTGTAAATTATTTCTTATTTGTGATTCTTGGCAGACTCACACAGTTTTGGTGAGGCCTGTGTTAATTAGTTTCAGAATCCTTTTAACCGGGGATTTGTAAGAAGCATTAGAAGGTTCTGTACCCTTGTTTGTGTTTGTTTTATTGGAAAAGGGTTTGGGTCAGAACAATAAGAAGATCTATTTGGAAGAATCACAGCATGTCTTTGTCAGTTTTTGACTCCTGAAACTATATGTTTTGCTTCTCATCCAAGAAGCTTCCTGAGCTCTCAAAAAGACAGCTTCTTCAGCTCTCAGAAGCTGAAGAAGCTTCTGGAATGAGAAGCGAAAGATCTTCAAAGAAAAACAAGGAAGTCCAGTTATCTCTTGCAAAAAGCACTTTGGGGCCAACTGTGACCTGGATGATTGACAATCTGCACAGATTCTCCATTTGCTAAGTTGAACAACTGGTCTAAAATTAGCAAATTAGTCAAATTCGTAAACTGATACAGAGAAAACTCTTTAGCTTTTTTTTTTTTTTTTTTAAACTGTGAACCATACTCTAGTTCGAGGGGGTAACATCTGTTCCTGGTTAGCGATCTAGACTGTGATAATGGCTCTAGATCTTGAAGGCATACAACATGTAAAGGTGTTAATGTATCACAGCTTTCCAAATTAATATTCGCAATTGCATTAAGAGCTTCCAGGTAAACAGGAGTGCTATCATTCCCACAGAAAGGAAATGACAGATAAATTAATTTTATTTATTTTTTTCAAATAATTTTCATTGCTTTCCACCAGTACACATCTTGATTACATTTTCAACAGTATTTGCATCAACGTTCAGTATTAATCCATATTTCCATCATCTATTCGTACGTACTCTTAGTAGTTTTTGTCTTTATTTATAATTCTTATTTATTATCTATCTTTATCTGTTTTATCTTTCTACCTCTCTATGTATTACTTTCTTGAGGTTTCTTCTATACAATCGTCTTTATCCATTCTTATTTCTCTTTCCTAGCCATATGTACCATCTATGCCAAACTGAGTAATAGTCAGATTCTTCTTTTTCCCTCATTTTTAGTGTGAGCATATCCATTTCTGCATAGTCTGCTATTTTTTGTAAAATTAATTCTTCCGTTGGGGCCTTATGCTCTTTCCACATTTGCGCGTAAGCTATTCTGGCCGCTGTCAGTATGTGTAGTAGTATATAGTTTATGCAGATAAATTAATTTTAAATTGGTTAATGGGTACGTTTTCTTGGGATGCTACTATTGACTGCCAAAATTAGTATTTTAGTTGTGGTCAGTGTAGCAGGGGACGGCTTTCTTTCGTGCAAATTTTAGGGCATTTTTGTTTGTTTTGCTTTTAACTAGGGCTGGGCTGCTGGGGGTTAGCGGGAGTTCGGGAGAGCCCCTAGCTAAGATTCTGTGCAGTTGGGAGAACTCCCAAATCCCACCCCTGGCTGGCCCCGCCTACCCCTCCCCTCCCAGGAGCCCTCACGCGGCCCGTTTTGGATGGAGGGGAGTGCAGGGCATGTGCGGAGGCTCAGGGAGGGCAAAAAACAGGCTTCCCAGGAGTTCAGGAAGGCCGGAAATGGGCCCATTTCCCGCTTCCAGAGAGCCTCTGGAGTCCAGGGAGGCCATTTTCGCCCTCCTGGAGGCTCGGGGATGGCAAAAACACACCCCACCCCCTCTGTGGTGCAGGAGGCTGACTAGGCCACGCCCACCATGGCCACGCCCACCCAGCACCCGGGCAGAGAACCCTTTGCTAAAACATTTGAAGCCCACCCCTGCAGTTTTAACAATATCCCAAATATCAGTCCAGGGTCATCAAACACTCTATGAAATCTAATCCTTTGGATCTATGTTTTAGAATATATAATCACATGAAACTTGTTGGCCTAAGGATTATATTCCTTTTTTAAAAAAATTTAAGTTGCATTTTTGCAAATTTTTGGCTACCACCGCATACTGCTGGCTCATATTTAATTGGACTAAGACTCCAACCTCTCTCTTACAGTTACTGCTGTTAAGCCTGGTTTCACACAACCTATATGTGTACTTTGGGTTTTTCTTGCCTAAGTGTCAGACTTCACTTTTCTCTACATTAAATTTCATTTTGTTAGATAGGGCCCAGGATTCAACTCTGTCAAGATCCATCTGGATCTTGAGCCTATCATCTAGGGTATTGGCTATTCCTGCCAGCTTAGTATCAGAGGATGATGATGATGATATTCCAGAACCAAAAAGCTTGCTGAAGTGATCAAGACAATAAGACAGGGCAAGCTTGAATATTACTGCATAGAATAATACGGTTGGAAAGGAGGTTTTAAAGAAGAGACTGAACAGCCAGCACCATAGGCATTGACAAATTTGCCATTGGTCAGTTACAGAAGGCAGCTTTACTTGGAACAGCTTCCATCCTGCAGCGATATCATATCTGTAACACCATCAAGCATCCAGATTTGCCTTTCCCAGGTCCTTGGTATGGACTCGATAGGTAGACAAAAATGCCAAACCCAATTTGAACTTCTGACTGACTGTGTGATTAATAATAATAATAATAATAATAATAATAATAATAATAATAATGATAATCCAGAACCAAAAAGCTTGCTGAAGTGATCAATGACAATAAGACACGGCAAGCTTGAATATTACAACATAGAATAATACGGTTGGAAGGGAGGTTTTTAAGAACAGCCATTTCTCTGGAAGGATACAGGGTCTCCTGCTTGAGCAGGGGGGTTGGACTAGATGACCTCCAAGGTACCTTCTAACCCTGTTATTCTATTTTCTATCTGCACTGATCTGGTTTTTTTTTTTTTTCCACTTTCTACGCAGAAGTGGCAGATACGTGAAACTTTTCGTTCTCTCACACACTCAAATCGAGTTGCAGAGTTACATTTCATATTTCACACCGGTTTGAAGGACTTTTAGATCTGGGAAAAATAGCCAGCCGCGAGATTTCTGCAGACGGACAGCTCAAACGCTTCGACGACTGCACCTAATCCTCCAGGACCGTGACCTAAAATATGATCTGAGCTTCTTCTATGTCCTATTAATAGATAAAGAGATTCCTTTTAAACAACACAACGCACAACACAGTGTACTGTGTGTCGTGGCTTTATGGAGGCCGTTCAGCGAGGTTTCGCTCTCTTTAGGAGCGAAGCATGGGAAAAAGAGGAAATGGCCTGAATTTAGATCAGCAAGGTGGACTATCTTCTCTAGAAAGGAATTGTCACATGTTGGCCCTTGCCAACATGCGTGTTCTCTTCCACCATCAGAGTCTCTTCAAGAGTGATACATTTGTGGAGGTGGATTGAACACAAATCTCTGCAGGCTTCAGAAGTAAAATAATAATAACCCATGCATGCATTCATTGCTTTGGCCTCCTTGGGGCTTGGCTGTTTTCTCGTAGACATCTCATTTCCCAACTAGGTAACGTCATCAGTGCTAGAATGGAGTGGGATTTGTGGGGGAGGGAGAGGAGGAGGAGGAGGAGAAGGAGGAGGAGGAAGAAGACTGGCGTCCTTGGTGCTCTCTGAGCTTGGTTGTTTTCTTGCAGATGTCTCATGTCCCAGCTAGGTAACGTCATCAGTGCTAGAACGGAGTTGGGTGTAGGGAAAGCACTTGTCAAAGTCAATGGGGAAGCCAGATTCACTTAAACGACTGGGTTACTAACTGATCAACTGCAGTGATTCCCTTAACAACTGTGGCAAGGAAGATGGTAATACGGGCAAAACTCACTTAACAACACTAATTTGGGGCTCAGTTGTGGCCATAATTCAAGGACTACCCATACGGTTGCTGAATTAGAGACCATTCTAGAAGGTTTGCCAATTTTCTTTCCCTGCCATTTTCTTTCTGATTTTCTATTGATCTGCCCTGCAAACCATATTCCCCTCGGGGTGTGTGTGTGTGTTCGTTCCCAATCTTACACCAGAGATACTTCTATAATCCACCACGAGTTGCAGGCGTGGGTTTTACTTCCTGAAGGAGACAATTCCCTGAGCTGCTGGACGCATCAACCACTGATAAGAATTAAAAGAGCAAACGGGAAATAGCAGGACGGA